GGAATTTTGGTGTCTTCCACTTTGGTCCACTTTTTGGTCTCCTTTGATGTATCTTCGTTGTTCCCAAGTGTTCCAATTCCACATACTTTAGGCTATTTGAAGGAACTACTGAACGCAAATGGTCTCGACAACAAAACTGAATATATTGAGCTTACATCGTTATGTATGAAGCAAAATTGTTTTCAATTTAATAACAACTTTTTTGAACAGCGGGAAGGTAATCCATTGTCTCCATTTTTGGCTAATTTATTCATAAGCAGGTTTGAAGTGGAGGCTAAGAATCAGTTTGAGTATTTTCCAAGAGTATGGTTTAGGTATGTGGATGATATTTTTGCTGTTTTTGACACACATTCAGACACTATAATAATTTTATTTCTAAGTTATATAATCGTTTTCCTTCCATTAAATTTACGCATGAAATTGAGAACAATGACAGATTACCATTTCTAGATGTATTAGTTATTAGAAATACTAATAACTGCCTGGAATTTGATATCTATAGGAAAAATACCACCACACGCAGATATATTCCTAATGAATCACATCATAGTGTTGAACATAAAATGGCTAGTTTAAATTTCTTAGTTCATAGATTACTTAGTTTCCCACTTTCCAAAGAAAGATATCAAATAGAAAGAGATTACATTAGGAATGTAGCGGAGTGTAATGGATATTCTCCTTCACTAGTTGATAAATTAATTAGAAAACGTAGGTATAGGTTAATGATTTCTAAAAATTCGACTTTTCAAGTGGAGAAAGATACGTCTAAATATTTTTCAATACCGTTTGATAGAGAGTTATCCCGTGGTCTAAAAGGTACCAATTATAAACTTGTGTATAATGCTAATAATAAATTACAACAATTATTAGGTAATCCAAAAGATAAAACATCTCCACTGGAAAGGTCGGGTATTTATGAAATTTCTTGTAAAGATTGTAATCAGAAATATGTTAGGCAAACTAGAAGATCGATATTAACTAGATTTAAAGAACATTTAACTCAAATAAGATATGGTAGACCGGATAAATCTTACGTTGCCGAACATATTGTCGATAAAGAACATTGTATAAATCTTAATAATTTAAAATTAATTAAACAAGTCTCAAATTACAGGCAATTAGATGCATATGAAAGCATCAGAATTAATAAATGTAAAGATAGTATGAACAGAGTCAACGGTCCAATTCCTTCAAGTTCTCCGTTCCTACTACTCTAGTGGCGGAAATTAACTGTTACGCTCAGTTGGCTCTGACTCGGTTGGCTAGATTTTGCCACGCCCACTCGGTACCTACTGGTCGAGTATATAAACGCTCAACTTGTAGATTGTACTTTAGTTTAAAATCATCTGCTGATGATGCTAACATGGTTAGCGAAACGCGCGTCCAGTGTAAAAGTAAAAGTGTTTTGGTGTATTGTGGTGATTTAGTGTAATTTCATTTTGCTGTGTAACACCAAAGGTTCCAACCCTCAACTGTAATGATTTTTTAGTATTGAAAATACTTCTGGGCGCGTTTATATGGTCTTTGAAAAAACGACATGCTAGAGGCGACATGGGTTCAATAACCTGCCTGTCAACACATAGAGCCGGCGTTAATGAGCTAATAGGGCAAGGACGTTCGATGGCTGAAATGAGGTCTTATCGGTGGGCCAACTAATTTATGGATATGAATGTTTAGTCTGAGCTGGCGGATAAAGAGAGCCGGTATTACTTTAAAAGAAAATGTGTCAAGGCATGGGTTGTTAGGTACAGTTTTTAATCTAACTATTTCCGTATGAGAAGCAAGGAGCAAATTATACGAGAAAGAGCAGAATCCCATAAATAATAAATTTAGACTAATTACCATATTTTTTATTTGATTATTATTTATTTAACAACTTAGGACAAAGAAAAAGCTTACATATGGTTTCCACCGCCAACAGGCGAGGCGTTGAAACAAATGAATCCAAGGCGTTGCCATATATTTATTGGGATAAGTTGATAAGTTTTTATCGTTTGAATATTGTTGTAAATAATAATTTATATCATTTAATTAGTGGTAACTTATCAAAGTTCACAACACGGCGAAATTTCAACAAAATCAGCAATCGGATCTTTGAGATATAAATAAAAAAAGTCCACCAGGGTCACCTGCTGAAGTATGGCCAGATACTTAATTAACACCCTGTATTTAAAAATGGCTAGCTAGTGATTTTGTAAGTAAAGCTATGTTTATTTTAATAGGAAAAAAATACATAAAATAAACAAACCCATTACAGTTACTATACGAGTACACTAATTAATTAATTTTAAATGTATCTAAATAGGCACTTTAATAATTGAAAAATCACTTCATAGAGTATACCAAATATGCCAAAAAAAATCCAATAAAAAAAACAAATGGCACATTAAAATCTGCATTACCTGAAATCAAACTATACCTAAACGGCTAATCAGCCAGACAACAGTGACCAATGCAATATTTTTTTCTTGGCGCGTAGGATAGATAAATGCATTAAAGGGAATAATTATTAAAATCATTAAGTTGCAAAACATATTATAATAACTCAGGTCTCATCGGATCTGCTGATACATTTTACTGAAATTTAGGCATTAGGACTCATATTTTTTTTATATGATTATTATTATTTTAATTAATAACTTAGGACAAAGAAAAAGCGTAAAAATAAATGAATCCAAGGCGTTGCAAAATATTTATTGGGTTAAGTTGATAAGTTTTTATCGTTTGAATAGTGTTGTAAATAATAATGATTATCATTTAATTAGTGCTACCTGATCAACATGGCAAAATTTAAAGAAAATCGGCCAACGGGTCTTTGAGATATTAATAAATAATATCTATTACATCTTGACACCCTGTATCTTTAAAATTATGCATTTCCGGACACATGTTTATATGAACTTTTTAACGTAAAAACACTCAAAGAATCACCTTCTGAAATTTGACCAGATACTTAATTAACACCCTGTATTTAAAAACGGCCAACTAGTGATTTTGTTAAAGCTATGTTTATTTTAATAGGAAAAAAACATTTCATAAAAAAAATAAACAAACCCATTTACTATACACTAAACCATTTACTATACACTAGATAATTTTAAATGTATCTAAGTAGGCACTTTAATAATTGAAAAATGGACATGAACACTTAAAATCACTTCATAGAGTATACCAAATATACAAAAAAAATCCAATAAAAAAACCACAAATAGCACATTAAAATCTGCATTATCTGAAATCAAACTATAGGTACCTAAACGACCAATCAACCAGACAACAGTGACAAGACGCCGACATCGATAACGCGATGAGCAGTTTTTAATAATTATTCCCAGTTATTATTGAGAGCTGGCTACATAAAAAACCTTATCATCGTTACATGGCTAATTTTTTGTGTGAAGTATCCTTTTGTGTAGCCATTATGAAATGTCATGTCTGCCAGCGCGATCCCGGGACGGCCAATCGAAAGGGTGAAATTTTGACACTAAAAATATTATAAGGTACACGAGTTATAATTGCGAAAATAGCTTTCATTTATTATTAAGAAACGTGGAAAATTGTTGGCAGACATTTTTCTAGTCGCTAAAATGCCGACAGACAACGCGAAAGAGGCATGAAACTTTAAAAATTATCTCGAAAATTATTAAAAAATGAAATTTGAGGAATGAAAAAATATATGGCATACATATGTATGCCGATTGGTGGAATGTCATATTTATTTGTTTTAAAAGCCGTATGCAAAAGGGTAAACAAAAATATCGTGGCTAAATCAGCTGCAGACAGTTATCAAAAGCGCGATATTACTCTAGCGCTTTCAGGGTACGCTCGCCTCCCTCATCCATTTAAGTATAGATAAATCATGTATACGATTATATTATAAATATATTTTTTATTATTTCATAACAGATATCATACATTTACTATTCTGTCTCACTATTTGTATCTGACTCATCGTACTGCAGATCCCCGCTCTCGAAAACGAGTCTTCCTCTGAGTCGATATCTGCACCGTAAAATTTTTGTAAACTTACAGGTATTATGTTTCAATTGATAACGCGGCCACCGTTTCCTGAAAACGCTTATACAGGGTGAGTCTTAAAGAGGTGAAAATTCTTTTAAGGCTGATATATTTCGCCCCAGGAACAAGTTTATGAGTTTTTTTTTTCACAAAAAAGATGTAGAAAATCGTGCATTATTTTTATATTTTCCTGTATATTTTAGAAAACTCTTTAGAACTGCCTGTTCACCGCAAATTTACCAACTGCCGGCATTTAGCTACGAGAAAAATGTCTGTCAACACTTTTACACGTTTCTTAATAATAAATAAAAGCTATTTTCGCAATTATAACACGTGTACCTTGTAATATTTTTAGTGTCAAAATTTCACCCTTTCGATTGGCCGCCCCGGGATCGCGCTGGCAGACATGACTATTTCATAATGGCTACAAAAAAGGATACTTCACACAAAAAATTAGCCATGTAACGATGATAAGGTTTTTTATGTAGTCAGCTCACGGTCTATAACAGTAGACATCGGCTATTGAAACGATGAATATGTTTATATACAAAACGGTTTGCGAGAAAATACGTGTTGTATACTAAAATGTGAGGTCCCTAAACAAATAAAATAATAGTTTTAATATGTGTGTATTTTGTTTTTGTGCAGTTTTTCACAATTTTAATTCTATAGAAATCTACGTTCAAGACTTGAAAAAGGCATATGACTGTCGAAACGTCGTCGTCGATAAAAATAAAATAATAAACAAAATCAAATAACATCTTTACACCCCCAACGACCTAAAGCCAAGAATAAAAAGAAAAAAAAATACAGTATACCAGCTCAAAGAAACTAAACCAAAAAACAAAAAATAAATAAATAATAACTATTACTTATTATCATTAAATTAGCATCCAATTATTTCCTCGTTTAATTTGTTTTTAGCTATTAAAGCAAAGCAAAAGACAACCAATGTTATTTTCCTTATTTTAATAGTAACTTACTAAACGTTTGTGCAGAAATATTCTAATGCTGGTAGTTCTTCAAAACATGCCAGGCTTGTACACATGTGATGAATGTTACGCACTGTAACATTTTTACATTGTAAATTGGGGTTTAAAAAATATCCTAAAACATACGAAAATATTATTACTACTTCTTTCTAGAGCTTTTGTTTTAAAAAAATAGTCCTAAAATAAAAAAAGCCACATTTTTGAGGTACCGTGAATACTGAAAAAAATGTATATCTTAACAATTCTATTTCATTTTTTCGTAATTTTTAAAACAAATTAATGAGATGCAACAATTATGGATTCGACAACTTATCTAAATATTTCTATAATAAGACTTACCACTTGAGAACAACTTTATAATTAGCAGGTAAACAGCAATCATTGTTTTGGAATATAAAGTCATAACTAGGTACCAAGCAAATTATTCTAATTATATCGTTTCTACATGATTTTGCATTAATGATTTTTTTAAATTCTTAAAGTGTAAATATTTGTAACATGGATTATGTACTTTAAGTTAGCTGATTTATAGTATACTTTAGAAATAGGATTTGATATTTCAAATCGTGCTACTAAATAAATTTAAATATACAGAATCACCTACTGTTTATAAGAAGCTCCATATGATGTTTCCTATTTCAGATTGTTACATGATATGCGAGAAATGACAACGTTCATTTTAAAGATATATTTAGAGACATGAGAGATGGTGCCCGGTGGCGTAGAGGTACAGGCTCTCGTCCACCAATCTCAAGGTGTGGGTTCAATTCCCACACCCGGCATTTCATCAGCCGACTATTTTTATTAAAATAAAAATAGTTTCGGTACCTAGGTCGACTCAGCCTTAAATGAGTACTTGGGATTTACAATCCTGAGGTAATAATAGGCGGTTGAAGCGTAGTGCTAGCCACATTACCTTCCTTGTATACCGAACGGCTCTAGTATAGCAAGCTGTACCTTGCTACTCCCAAGGCGTCAAACGCTATATACGGGAGCTATTATTATTATTTAGAGACATGGAAAATAATATATATTTTTACATTAAAGCTGGGATTTTTAAATGGATTGCTACATTCCTAATGTAGAATGTAGAATGTTTAGGAGGATAGTTAATCACCGCGACCTTACAGATATATTGTGTGTTCTCCTTTCTTGAGTTATAACGAGTTGTAACTCATCATACAGTCTCAGGGCTTTAACAAAAGCCAGTATCTGAGACGGCTCCACAGACGCCAGCTCTCCATCCTCGACATAAGCCGAACCAAAGTTCATGGCACGAACGGTCGTAGTCTCAGCGCACTCAGTGATAAGATGTTCTGATGTTTCCCCATTTTCCTCGCAGAATCTGCATTCGCCGTTGTTTCTCAGCTTCAGCCTACTGAGGTGTTCGTTGAGGAGACAGTGTCCTGTTAGAAACCCCGTGACAATCCGAAGATTGTTTTTACTTAAATCAAGGAAAATCTTCGTAAGTTCTGAGGAACTTTTTCGAGTGCCTTAGACCGTCGGAAGACACCCATTCCAGGTTACGGATGGAGTCTTCCAGATTTTTCAGTTCAGCTTTCAGTTTGTTGGATACGCACGAAAAAGGGTAAAAGAGATAAAAGATGTTAACGTTGACAGTGCGAATTCTCCTTATTTTTATTATTTGTTAGAATTTACGATTTCGGCAGTTCAATGTATGCAGTCCCTGCTATTTTTAGAAAATATCGATTTTTTCACTTCCCTTCGCTCTTTGACCGCCGGAATACCCATAGTTTATAAGTTTTTATTCTTTTTAGAATTAGTCGAGTTTAGTTTTGTATTGAAGACACTTCTCTGTATTATTTTGTCGGGCGTACGCACTTTATTAATATAATATTTTGTTATTTGTACCGAAAGTGTTTTAATTAACCGAATCTAAGTTTATTACCTAAAGAAAATCGGGTAGGTTTTCTAAAGAGTGATGTAAAATTATTGGCGACCGTGACAGGACTTTCGGTAATTAAAGAGATACGCAGTGACTATAAGGGAGGTGTCAAATATTTCTCGGAGTTTATTCAAAATGAAGTGAAGAAAAAATATCGCGGCGCGTTGCGCAGTAGTTTCACGAAGTGCGCGAATGACCTTGAGCTTTTGCTAAAAGCCGAGAATGTGATTTTCAAGCAGTTAATGTGTGCTGGGAAATGTTGTGTGGTAAAAACGAAAGTTTGGAAGTGGCAAATAATGAGATTTGCAGTTCTTTAATGGAAAATCCTGAGACAACTGAAGCCGAATTAACTGCCGACATGGATTCGACGGACGTCTACAAGAAACGGTTCGTAGATTTGAAACTTCGCCACCATAGCCTACAGCAGTCAGAGGGTACGACGTCACAAGAAGAAGAAGGTGCTGATGCTGGTGACCAGGTATCTGTAGTGGGTAGCAACGTCTCAAATCAAGCAGGTAGGCGAAAGTTTAAATTACCAATAATTGAGTTGACCAAGTTTGATGGCAATATTCGTGAATGGCTGCCATTTTGGGGTCAGTTTAGCAAAATCGATTCGGATTCGGATATTGATAATAACGATAAGGTCCTATATTTGATACAATCAACAGTGCCGGGTAGTAGGGCTAGACAGTTGGTCGAAAGTTTTCCTGCGATCGGCGAAAACTATGAAAAAGTGGTGAATGCTTTAAAATCGCGCTTCGGTCGGGACGACCTTCAAATCGAGGTGTACGTTCGGGAGATGCTCGGACTGATAATAAATAACGCGGTTTCTAAGAGTAAAATGGATTTGTCATCTTTATACGATCGGATAGAAACGCAGTTGCGCGCATTAGAAACGTTAGGGGTCGCGTCGGATAAATGTTCGGCGATGTTATTTCCCCTCATAGAATCGTGTTTGCCGTCGGAATTATTGCGCGTCTGGCAGAGATCGCAGGCCAATCTTCCAGCAAATCCATCTATGGAAACTCGGCTTGAAAGTTTAATGCAATTTCTTAGGGGCGAAGTAGAAAATGAGCAACGGATAATTTTAGCTACTCAGGGTCTAGGGCTTTCTAGTGCATCAGGAAAAGATTCATCAAATGCAAAAAATTCGAAATCTTCCGAAACAAGGTTACCTACCGCTGCCGGTTTAATGAACTGCGATGTGACAAAATGTATTTTTTGTGATGGGGCGCATGCTAGTGAGAGTTGTTTCAAGGCGCAAAAGTTTTCAATTGATCAAAAGAAAACAGTATGCAAAGAGAAAAAGGTCTGTTTTAGATGCCTTAAGTTTGGTCATTTGTCTACAAGATGCAGATCTAGATTAAGGTGTATCGTTTGTGGCCGAGCTCACCTAACCTTGTGTTCAAACGGTTCTGTCAATCCTGATAGGGACGATAAAAAGGCTAAAGATACCGCAGAGCAAACCCTTACAAACAATGGGAACTGTTTGGTGTTTTTGCAAACTTTACGGGTAACCGCAAGGTCAGAAAATGGATCTTGTGAGATACGCGCGCTCATAGACACCGGGTCGCAAAGATCGTATCTATTAAAATCTACTATTACGCAGTTGGGATACACCGCCAAAAGAGAAGAATTGGTTGCACATGGGCTCTTTGGAGGAGTTGTTACACAGGTACCACACAAATGTTATGACATCCGACTTCGTCATGAAAATTATGCATGTAAATTTGAGGTGTTGGATCAGCAGGTTATTTGTACCAGTGTTCCTGCCATAGGATGTGGACCTTGGATAACTGAGTTGGAAGAATTAAACATTGAGATACATGGTACTCAAGATTCTTCCCCCATTGAGTTACTAATTGGTGCCGATGTAGTTGGAAGACTTTATACAGGGAAACGGCGTGTATTAAAATGTGGTTTGGTTGCCATAGAAACACTATTAGGCTGGACGCTTTTGGGCAAGGTCTACGATGTTGAAGCTGCAAAAGACAAATCGTGTTCCAGTTTGGCAGCTACAAGTTTATCGTTGTTGTTGAATGATACTTACCTAACCAACCTATGGGAACTTGATACATTGGGTATTACTGAACCATCAGAAAGGAAATCGAGAGAAGAAAGGGCTGCCGCAGCTATACATTTCTTTAAAGAAACCGTGACACTGAATGCTGAAGGTCGATACGAGGTGCGACTTCCTTGGATAGAGGGTCACCGTCCATTGCCTTCAAACCGGAAGATTGCTGAAAGGAGATTACAGTCAACCTTGAAGAAATTGAAGAAAGACAATCTTGTGGAGTCTTATGGAGCCGTTTTCCAAGAATGGTTATCGGAAGGTATAATTGAACCGATACATATTGATAGTGGTGTCAGTGAAAACGGGCATTATCTTCCTCATCGGCCGGTCATTAAGGAAGATTCGACAACCAAAATCCGGCCTGTGTTCGATGCATCAGCAAGGGAAATTGATAGTCCATCCTTGAACCACTGTCTAGAAAAAGGTGAGAATTTGATTGAATTAATACCAGCTCTTTTACTGAGGTTTCGAGAAAATTCTATCGGGGTTGTGTCAGACATTCGAAAGGCCTTTCTGCAGATAGGTATTAATGAAAGAGACCGTGATTTTTTGAAATTTCTCTGGGTGGATTCTGAAGAAAACCTTATTGTGTTTCGCCATAGACGTGTCGTTTTTGGAGTGAACAGCAGTCCATTTCTGTTAGGGGCAACATTGAACATCACCTCGCCAATTGTTTGGAAAATGTTCAGAACGGAAATACTAAATACTCTCTAGACACGATTAAGAAGCTAGAACGAGGATTTTATGTAGACAATTGCGTTGTTAGTGTTCCAGATAAGACTTCTTTATTGAGATTTATACAAGAAGCTACCGAAGCCATGAGGGAAGCTAATTTTGAACTAAGAGGGTGGGAGTTCAGCGATGAAAATAACGATGAGACAGCTATGGTTCCGTTGCTTGGTCTTAATTGGTATTTGGCTAGAGATGTAATAAAAATTAGTGATGGATGCTTGAGGAGCAGCTCGAAATTTGATGAAATGGTTATAAGCAAAAGATTAATACTATCTATGGCACAAAAGGTATTTGATCATTGGCTTCACCTGTCCTACAACCTTGGTGCCGAAATTACTACTTCAGAAGTTATGGGAGAAGAAATTGACCTGGGATGAGACAGTTGACGCTGATACTGAACGACTTTTTCGAGAATGGTTTAGAGGGTTACCACATTTAAAGGAAATAGAGATTCCTCGTTGGATGGGTACTGGTACCGAAGAAGTAGAACATCTTAGTTTACATATTTTCTGTGACGCCAGTAAAGTAGCATTTTCTGCAGTTGTGTTTTTCCGAGTGGTCCGGAATAGTACAGTAACTGTTCATATTGTGGCAGCTAAATCAAGAGTTGCTCCCGTCCGTAAATTAACAATACCGAGACTTGAATTGTTAGCAGCTGTAATTGGTGCCAGATTGTATGAAAATGTGAGGAAAAATCTACAAAGTGACGCAGAATCATATTTTTGGACCGATTCATCAACTGTTTTGTCATGGATTCAACGTCAGGAAGAATGGGGAACATTTGTTTGTAATAGAGTATCAGAAGTTCGCTCATTGACGTCCTCCAATTCTTGGCGACACGTACCAGGGGATTTGAATCCAGCCGACCTTCCTTCTAGAGGTTGTTCACCTAAACAACTTGTTGAATCCAAATGGTGGGAGGGTCCGAGGTGGCTGTACTATGAACCAAATTTGTGGCCTAACCAGCAAATAGAGTGTGATGAAGCAGAAGTTGCACAGGAACGCAGGAAGAAATTAATTGCGCTGGTGAATAATGACAACGATTTCTGGCATCTGTCTTACTTTTCCAGTTTTTTGAGAATTGTCAGAATGATGAGTTGGATTCTGCGATTCATCCACAATTCAAGGAAGCCAGTTCAAAGAGCAACAGGGGACTTGACTGTTGAAGAAATTGAGAGAGGAGAAAAGCGTATTTTTGAAATCATCCAAAGTCAGAGTTTTTCGGGGGTGGATGACGTAAAGATAAAGCACCTCGATCCGTTTGTTGATGAACATAAAATAATACGCTTGAGAACGAGAATTTCGAATAGAGAAGACAGTGTAGATTTTAGATTTCCGATTGTATTGCCCTGCAGACACCCTGTTACTGAAAAGTTGATCCTGAAAGAGCATTTTGACTCTTCCCACGTTGGTATACAGGGAGTAATGAGTAAACTTCGTGAAAAGTATTGGGTATTAGGAGGACGACGAGCAATAAGATCCGCGCTGTCGAAATGTTTCATCTGTAAAAGATTCAATTCAAAATCGATTCGTGTGAATGTTCCTCCGTTGTCATTGGACAGGGTACACGACGCCTCTGTATTTGAGGTGATTGGAATTGATATGGCCGGCCCGCTGTACCTGAAGGATGGACTCAAGATTTGGATTTGTATTTTTACCTGCGCCATCTATCGAGCTGTGCATCTGGAATTGGTGACCTCTATGTCGACACATTCTTTTATTCAGGCCTTACGCAGATTTGTAGCGCGAAGAGGACGACCTAAAACTATATTCAGCGACAATGGTACCAACTTCGTGGGCGCTGAAAATCTGTTATCCCAACTGAACTGGCAGGAGGTTATGAAATTTTCAGTTAACGAGAGAATCGTGTGGCGATTCAACCCTCCAAGTGCTCCATGGTGGGGAGGGTTTTGGGAGCGGTTGATCGGCATTTTGAAGCAGCTATTACGTAAAGTTTTGGGACGTACCAGTCTAAATTACGAAGATTTATTGACAGTAGTGTGTGATGCTGAAACGGTTATTAATTCTAGGCCGCTCACATATGTATCCAGCGATCCGCACGAGTTGATCGCACTTACTCCAGCGATGTTTTTGGTAGATCACCATGAACACGGTCTACCGGATTACGACGTTGTTGACCGTTCGTCTGTGTGTCGGAAACTACGTTACAAGCAAAAGTTACGAGACGATTTACGCCGTAGATTTCGTAATGAGTATTTGGGACAGTTACGAATGTTTTATGAGGGGAAACCGCGCGGTTCGTTAAAATTGGGTGATGTAGTTTTAATCGGGAATGACCAAGACAAACGTATGGACTGGCCGCTAGCGCGCGTCGTTGATCTTATACCGAGTAAAGACAAACAAATTCGTCTAGTTCGGTTAGTGACGTCTAAGGGGCAGCTATTGAGACCCGTCCAACGTCTTTACCCGCTCGAGTGTGTTGATTCAGCGGTCCAAGGGGATGGGGTAGAAGACGTCATCGAGCCTTCAGAGGATGCAATAGAGTGACTCCACAGGAGTCACACCTGCCAGGTTTGCTCCCAACCGATGAGAGTGCAAGTGCGGGAGTGTCTGTTGAAAGCAGAGTACCCGTAAAAGTTACGCGTAGTGGTCGCATATCAAAACCGCCCTTTAGATTTTCTGTATGAATCTGAGGCGATATAGGTTAGAAATAGGATTATTGTTAAAATTACTAATGTTTGTGTTTTTAGTCTAGTATGCATTTATTGAAAAATTTTTGACTGCAAAGTAGTTGATAAGCTTTTTTTGTTTGTATCTTTCTTTTCTTAAGTTTTTTGTGAGTTACGCTAACTTGAATGTTATCGTTCCTCAGGTGGGAGGATGTTGGATACGCACGAAAAAGGGTAAAAGAGATAAAAGATGTTAACGTTGACAGTGCGAATTCTCCTTATTTTTATTATTTGTTAGAATTTACGATTTCGGCAGTTCAATGTATGCAGTCCCTGCTATTTTTAGAAAATATCGATTTTTTCACTTCCCTTCGCTCTTTGACCGCCGGAATACCCATAGTTTATAAGCTTTTATTCTTTTTAGAATTAGTCGAGTTTAGTTTTGTATTGAAGACACTTCTCTGTATTATTTTGTCGGGCGTACGCACTTTATTAATATAATATTTTGTTATTTGTACCGAAAGTGTTTTAATTAACCTAATCTAAGTTTATTACCTCGGGTTGAAAATCGGGTAGGTTTTCTACAGAGTGATGTAAAACAGTTGGTTTCCGCTTGGAAAACAGAACGGTAGAACGGTTCTGGTCCAGTTAGTGTTCTGTTCGCTCCTTTTCTAGCTAAATCATTTGCTTTTTCTTTTCTATCCCTAGATGAGCAGGCACCCAGAGTAGAAGGACTTTATTTTCTTTGCCTAATTTTTTGAGCTTGTCTAGGCATTCTTTGACCAACTTCGAATTGATGGTTACTGAGTTGATGGCGTTTAGTGCTGCTTGACTATCGGATAAGATGGTTATTTCCTGTTTTCGATAGTTCCTATCTAAGATAAATTGTCCGCAGCTTTCGATAGCGTAGATTTCTGCCTGAAGGATACTGGGGTAGGTGCCCATTGATTATTTGGAGTATTTAGTTTTCGGCCCAAATACTCCTATCCCTGTCCCTGCTTTGGTTTTGGAAGCATCAGTATACCACGTTATGGTATGATCTTTTACATGCCGAGCAAACGTTTCTTCCTTCCAATCCTTTTTGTAATATATACATATTATTACATCATGTTTGTAGGTACATAGAATTAAAAAAAATTTGATTTTATCCTAGTTCTGCGATATATAAAATATTATTTAGATATTAAAACACAGTTTCATTGTAGAGTTTATACTGGCTATTTTAAACATTATTAAAATATAGTATTATTAAAATATATATAAAGAAGTTTGATTCCACTCAACCACCGAGTATTTCACATTGGCGACGAGGATAAAAAATAATCAGTGTTAGTCTCCTGGACCGAATTCCTGGAAAGAAGAAAAACATAGTTTGAAGAAAGATTTAAAAAAAAATGGAGGAAACTGAGAATCCATCATATTATGGAAAACTGAGAGAATTCAGTGCTCAAAATAGTCACTGGGGGATTTATAAAAGGCGTCTGGAAAATTATTTCACCGTAAATGGCATAACTGACAACGAGAAGAGGAAGGCATTGTTGCTTAATGCTCTGGATGAGGAAGCACATAAACTTATCTATAATTTGACTTTACCAATATTACCAGAAGATAAGACCTACAATGAACTCACCGAACTGTTCAATACACATTTTAAAGTAGCTGAGTCAGTATTCGTAGCAAGGTCAAAGTTTTTGGCAAATGGCAATCAAGATGGCTGGTATCGCCATGGACATTTTCTAGTGACAGTTAGTAACTATTTTCAAAATCGGCATTAGTTTATGGGCATTATTATTTAAACAGTTTACTAAAATTTACTCACAATAGTTTAATAAGTAAGTATTCTTTATTTTATGAAGAAAAATAAAACCATATCTGATGGCGGCTGGCGGAACGAGTGGATATGTTACTAGTGATTTTATTTTGTGAAGAAAATTATTTCTTGGCCTCAAGAGCTTATGCTTAAAAATATCCAAATAGGAATCTTATTATTATGTAATATAACGTACTATTAAATTTATTATGTAAAAAATAAAATTTTGTTTTCTTACATATTTAACTGCTAGCTAATCCGGCTAACCTGTTAACATTGGCCAAGATTGAAAATGACAAATGGCAAATAGAATGGATGACTATATACTGTTGGGGCAACCTGATTTACAGCAGGATGAAATATGGGAGAATGTGCAACTCAGAAGACGTCGCAGGTTTATGATTGGGCGTAAAGAAAACACTCCCATAAAAACAGTTCCCAGGAGTGTATCGTTGCACATAACACGTTTGGCACCTTCCACCAAACCCGAAGACTTGCAAGTCATCCTTCAGGCTGAATTTTCTGAAGTTCAGTGCGAAAAACATGAATCTAAGTATCCTGATCTTTACAGTTCCATGAAAGTAACCATTATTATAAGAATTAAAGAAAGCCTGGAACTTAATTCTTCAAGTGAATATAAAGGCAATCAAAAATATTTAATAAGCCCAGAGAAAAGACACATATCAACACATATTAAGCCTAAAATATAGGTTAGTGCTAGGTTAGTGTATCACAATCACATACAGAATTTAGAGACGGTGGTAAAATATCGATATATTTTATAAAATTTATCGAAATACTCCTCAATGTTTTGCATAGAAAAATATATGCTTGCTGAAAAATATTCCTGGATATTGATCCCTGGAAAAGACGGTATCAAGTTACCTTAATATTCTTCCCCTAGGAGATGCAAGACCTTGTCGTTGGTGGGGAAGCTCCTGGTCAGGTGCTGGGGGGAATCCCCACTAGCACTTGGCTTGGTCTAAGAAGCATCTCACTCATCGTCTTGTCCCTGACTGTAGTGTCGTGGCCAGGGAATTGCACCAAGACATATAAAGATACCGGGCGGGGCTACGGACAGCCTCAACCTTGGGGCACCGGGGGCACCCCATTGTATTTACCCCTTTACTTCTACATGCGGGGCTCTGTAGAAGTGGACCGACTGTCCCTAGCGACTCATAGGAACACTATGAGATCTGGTAATAATAGTAATAAAAACATCACCGGTGAAGCTGTGGGGAAACCCCCTAGCGACACTGGGAACAGTAACAATGAAAGTTCCAAGGGGCCAAACCCAAAGAGAACTACAGGAGAGGTGGCTGACACTTGCGTGAGACCATCCTCCGCAAGTGGCATACAAGCTACCACCTCCTCCAAGGGTCGGGAGCCTACCTCCTACCTCTAAACCCAACAGGCGACACAAGCTACCGTTTCGTCTACCCGGCCTGGGTCGTAGCTCTTCGACTGTGAGGGACACGGGTCTCCGTAGGAAGTCCTGGGACTGTATGATGAGTTATAACTCAAGAAAGGGGGACACAATAGATCTCTAAGGTCGTAGAGATTAACCCCCCTCCCACTTATTCTAAATTCTAAAAAATTGAAATAATAGTAATAAAAACATCACCGGTGAAGCTGTGGGGAAACCCCCTAGCGACACTGAGAACAGTAACAATGAAAGTTCCAAGGGGCCAAACCCAAAGAGAACTACAGGAGAGGTGGCTGACACTTGCGTGAGACCATCCTCCGCAAGTGGCATACGAGCTACCACCTCCTCCAAGGGTCGGGAGCCTACCTCCTAGCTCTAAACCCAACAGGCGACACAAGCTACCGTTTCGTCTACCCGGCCTGGGTCGTAGCTCTTCGACTGTGAGGGACACGGGTCTCCGTAGGAAGTCCTGGGACTGTATGATGAGTTATAACTCAAGAAAGGGGGACACAATAGATCTCTAAGGTCGTAGAGATTAACCCCCCTCCCACTTATTCTAAATTCTAAAAAATTCTACATTAATATTAATGATTGATATGTTATGCGCAAAATTATATTGTGAATGTAGTCGACCATTTCCAACGTAATTTGCGCTCTTTTTATTTCGATTCTACATTCAAGGAATATTAACGAATCTATGAAAGAAAGTCACAATATAGGTATAGAACGCCCTAGTGATATAAGTATAATATATTATTTTTTATTTTACGTAAAAAATCGAAAATGAAAGGAACATAATATATAAATGTATCGATATATTTTCAAATTTTACTATCACTCTAGCAAGACCTTTTAATATCTGTCTTGCCGAATCTGGCCGAAGACCAAGTTTGTGTCATGATAGTTTCCGAATAAATTTCAGGAAATTTTTTGATTGGTTGGGATGAAAATATCAGTCGGCCAATTTCGTAAATTGGAGAAAATTATATTATACATCCCAAAAATATCATAAGAATAATGAGTCACTAGCAAGAATCCCACTGCTGGTTGTTTAAAATCATCAGGCGTTTTAATGAACATAACTACCCTAATCCAATTTCATAACAATACTAGAATAAAGAAGGAAAGGAGTAGAAATGAATATACGTGGGATTCTTTTTCTTCATTCAAAAAAAAGAAATATTGGAAAATAGCAATAAATCTATTTTTATTTTAATGTCCTTTTTTTTAATTTTCAATTTCTTAAGAAGAACGAAGAAATATCACTTACACTTTACCTTCTTTAAATATATTCGATAAATTTCGGTAATACCAACTGATTTAAAATAGTCGAAAAATAAGAAACAAAAGTGGGAGAGAATATTCCCTCGTAAATAAATAAAATTTATTTTTTGTGAATGTATAAATTATAATTTACTATTTGGTTTAAACTAGCTTGTACATACATCTTGAAACAAAAAAAACTAAATCACAGACACTTATTATAATTTCCTATGTTTAGATTATTTCCTTTTACTCAGTGTAGTCAACAATTCTGATCTTGATGATAAAAGATCATTGTCGTTCCTATAGGCCAAGGGGTTTTCGGCTTGCCTTTCTTCTAATTCTTCCTTCAGCTCATCGGCGGTTGCCAAGTCTATTGATTTACCTTCGCCGTAAAACAAGTCTTCTCTGTACACCCGATCTTTTCTTCTGTACGTCCCGTGAATCTTGAAAAGCAATAAAACATAATTTAAATGTGAGAGAAAATATGAGATTGATAGTTTAAAAGATAATTTAGAAACAAAAATTTAAAAATAATTGTTCCTAGCTAACAGTGTCAGTTTTCTAAAAATCGAATGCTCAAGAACCATTTGACTATTTGCGATGATGAAAAATCCTCTCAAAAATAAATGGACTCCATTCTCTGATGAATCATGAAATATTTCTATTCTATTAAAAAACTTTTGACGCGGTATCGGCACCTATACAGAATGTATAGTATTTTACCTTTATCTACAGATATTAATTATTTATTAAAGTGGGTGTCCCAATATTCCGTAGATAAAGAATTACTACTTATTTTTGGAACCAAAATAAGTTCATTGGGCGCAATTTATCTTTATACAAAAGTGCTTCGTTTGTCCGTTAGGGGGCATCAATAAAAAATCAACCCGAACGTTAATACATTTAAAATGTATTATTTTTTTAAGCTTTTTATGAAGCTTATTGTCAACTATCATTTATGGTACTCACATAAAATTTCATATTTTTGCCAACTAGATTATTAGAGCATAATATATTTTATTCGCCTCCATAGCTAAAATTTTTTTTGGGAGTCACAAGCAACCTTCGGAAATGTAAGCACCCTCAAATGTTCTCAAGGGCGCCGGCTTTTATAAAACCTCGTGGGTGCTCATTAGATATTCATTCCAAATGTTACATTTGTTGTATTTATTACACTTTTTTACTTATATAAGAAACAACAAAATTAAGAAAATACCATATAAATTTAAGTAATTTTTGCAATTTTATTGAGTGAAATTTGAGTTGTGCAGAAATAAAACTTTTTAGTGCAGATATCGAGCTATACCGAGGCAGATACGAATTTGTGAAAATTACCGGTGAAAATATTAAATATACCTACCCATTACAATCGTGTAAGGGCAGCAATAAAACAGGCAGATACTGTATTTTATATAGAGATACAAAATGCATGAAGCTAAAAATTGCTGAGAAGAGCTACTAGTGAAGGGATGGGTTGGGTTGGAGGAGGCAGCTTTAGGGTTTCGATCGACAAATCTATACTAATATCAAAGCTAATATATAAAATCCTTAAGTGACTGACTCACTGATTAATCACGATCCTGCTCAAACCACTCGACGTAAGAAGCTCAATTTTGGCATATAGGTTGATTCTAGGGTGTAGAGGTTCGATAAGAAGGGATTTTTCGAAATTCCAGTTCCAAGGGGGTGAAACCACCCCTCAAATATTACAATATTTTTATTTAAAAATCGGCCGTTTCCGAAAAAACGCTTAGACACGTATATTGTATTTTGTTTTTACATATTTTAAGATTTGTTAAAAATGTATACAGGGTGTTTCGAAAAATCTGGTCATTGATTAATCACGATCCTGCTTAAAGCGCTTGACGTAAAAAGCTGATTTTTGGGAAACGAATTGACTTTAGGGTGTCGAAACTCGAATTCTAAGGGGGTGAAACCACCCCTCAAATATTAGAATATTTTTTATTTAAAAATCGGTGAGTTTTTCGGAAAAAAACTCTTAAACACGTACATCTTATTTTGTTGTTTTACATATTTTAAGATTTTTTTTAAATTTCTACAGGGTGTTTCAGAAAATATGACCATTGAGTAATCACGATTCTGCTTAAACTGTTTGACGTTTAAAGCTGATTTTTGGCAAACGGGTTGACTGTGTGGTGTAGAGGTTTGATAAGGAGGGGTTTCTCGAATCTCAAATTCCAAGAGGGTGAAAACGCCACTCAAATATTACAATATTTGTTATTTAAAAACGGTTACTCCTCTCGTGGGTGCTAGAGCACCCGAACACACGCGCAGTCGGCGACCCTGAATGTTCTTATCAGTTTTAACCATTAACGGTACGAGTAAGATGGGCAATGTTTGGCTAAAACTGCCCTTCTTGCTCGCGTTCCAAGTAGTATTTATAATACTGTACCAACAAAGATCTTTTTATATTTCCTTTAAAATAATTAATATGTTTTGAATTGAATATATTATAATGTAACCTTACCTTATCCCAAATAAATATGTTGAATCCAAAATTGACATGGAAATATTGATGGTGGTTATCGTGAAATATAGCATCGGGTTGCCATGGTTGCCACCAATAAGCCTTGAAATTAATTCCGGAATGATCGATTATTCCATGATAATATGCGTAGAACGTGACAGTATAAAATGGAACTGAAAAGTAAATACATAGGTTTCGAATAAATATTACATTCCTAAATACATTATACAAAATGATGAGTATGCAGTTAATGCAGAGAGCAACAATGGAAAATCTTTCTCATCCTTAAATCTCGATAGATCCGCAATATCATTACTATTAATTTTTTTATTTACAATCAAAAACCTCCATCTAGTAAATATTGTAATACTTGGGACCCTCATCCGGTTCTAAGATATCTAGAAAGTTTGTGTTTTATAATGTGTTCGACATTCTAAAAAGTCTGATTTTTGATTTTTTTTCGATTATTTTACAATGATAGTAAAAAAAGATTATAACATATAACAAAAAATATTTCAAAAAAATATATTTTTGGCTTTCTTAGAGATATTTAGATATATTTTGACAAAATAAAAATAAAGTTACAAGTAGCATATTGTAAAAGTATCTTTTTAAACCAACCAAACATTGTCATTTTACTTAAGACTATTTTATTTGCGATTACGATGATTGTTGTCCCTTGTTAATAAAAACATACTTACGCCAGTGAACTGGAAAAAGAAATAGTGGAGCCGCTAAGAACAGCTGGATGTGGAGGGACTCTACAGGATGAATAGCAGTAACCGAGAATGCTGTTGGCTGTTTGTACTTGTGGTGAAGTTTATGAAATCTTTTATAAAGATAAGGAAAATGATAAATCCTATGGAGCCAATAAGTAACGTAGTCCTGAAAATAAAATAAAATAGATATATATCCGGTTTCAATTTTAAAAAAGGTAATAGAATCATGAAACCTATGATCAAATAATTACAACTACACCCTAGTGACAACAGACTATAAATTCATTAATTTTTAAAGTTTCAAAATATAGTAGCAAAGCTCAAAACTTTATCATTTAAAAAAAATGACATTTGAAAAATTAAACAATTAACCGAAAATGGTTTAAATGTCAATCTGTGTGTTTGTTTTACATGTGTACAAGTAACATGAAATACTCTTTGAAACGATACATCGCAACTAAAAAAGAATTATTTCGCATAAACTTTTTGTTTAAAATGTCAACAATAATTTTAAATCTAGTCCTATGTCTATGGTTATTTCGCCACTTGCACTGAAAGAAAATCTACCAAATAAAATAGTTATCTTTTGTCAATGGAGACCAACTTGTCAGCGTCTTTTTACTAATAAACAAATGTGCCTACCGGACAGAAAAATGCTTAACGTTTCGGAAAGTTTATATCTCTTTCCGTCGCCAGAAGCCAAAAAAACACAAAGAACAAAGAAACAAACTATTTAAAATATCTAAATATATCTATTAAAACTTTAGTATTTTTTCAACAGATACGATTTTTCTAAAGGCATTTAGACATACATACTTAATTTGTAATATTTTTAGAGGACGATTACTATTATACAATTAGAGTACAATTATATGATATAAAATTATCTTAAAGTAGTTCGATGAATTTAAGCAGTTTTCTCACTAACAATTTATGTACTAGTTAGAAGTAGGAACACGCAGTAGTTAGATGCTATCCTTGTTTATATATTTTAAAGTTGTTCAACCGACTAGACAAAATGTGCTGCCAGCTGGAGGACAAATCGTGAACCTTTCGGGGCAGAGTCAAAGATATCGATTATTTTCGTTATTTCAGAGTAATGTAATAATATAGCCCGGGTTTCTGCATCTTTAATAGTGATCAGCTGATTAAGAAATTTAAACGAAATTTTTATTTTATTGTAGATTGTGAATTATTTTTGCCTGTTATTTTAAAAATTCTAAACCGTATTAAGAAAGAAATTATTATTTCGATATGTTGGTACATTTTTTATAATTTATGATAATGCTAATTACTGTTAATTAATATTTAGAAAAAGTTACATACCTACTTTAATTTGATTTAATGCAGGTTTATAAAAGAATCATTTCATTCTTAGATTATTTTATTCTAAATTGAGTGCTTTACGAATTTTACGATTTTTTTTTGAAAACATAAATCTCTTTACATTCTTCATTAAATGTTCAAAAAATTGCAACTTGCTTAAACAAAAATTGTAAATATGAATTTTTTAAATGAAGAAAAGCGTGTAGGATTATTGGTTCAACTTTTCTTGGCCATACATTTTCCAGGATACGTTGACCGGTGAACGTTATTTACGTTTTTTAGAGAACGGTTTTCAAGACATGTTAGAAAAGTTAAATTTAGATAGTCGCGCATCAATAGGGTGGTTCCAACATGCCTTTCATTATGACACCCGCCCCCCATAATGAAAGAAATGTTAAAAATTATTTATATCACAATTATGCAAACTCAGGGATCGGAGTGGTGCATGGGCCCCCTCGAAGAGGCGGTACGGGAGAACATTTTCTAAAATAACTTAATTGTATGGGGTAGTGATATTATGAAGTTTTAGTTTGCGTAATGTAAATCGTAAAGAACCGTTTAATAATATATTCTATGTTTTTATGTTATAAATCATAACAAGAGTAAGAATACCATGCTAACTAAGTGAAATTAGCCAAGAAAGAAAAGAATTATTGGCTATAACTATAACTCTGTATCTAACTGTAATTTTTCGAAAAAAACATATACCTATATCGCCGAAAAGTTTAAAAATGGCGATTTTTATGAAGTCATGGCCAACTATGGTCAAAAATTACAGGCTTTAGAAAAAATCAGAAAACACAAACTCATTAGGTGTGTGATTATCTAAACTAACTTTTTGTCTAAAATAGTTTATAATGGAATTAGGGACAAGTTTTAAAATAGCCAAAATTTGTTTGTTTTTTTTCGAAATATCTAGTAAGCGATAAACTTTTTCAAAAATCCGAAAGGCGCATATTTATGACCCCACAAAACTGCAATTGTTTTCCCATTAACCGACTCTCTATCTCCAGTAGTTTCCAAGATGCCCATAGAGAACATCGTAGGAAACTCACCCTGTATAGTATTTTGATAGATCAGCGAGATATTTTGAAGATCAGCGGGACGCAGACGAATATCGTGGCTGCGAAATCTACGAACATGGACCGGATTGACGTCAACAGCTTTGTTCAGAACGGCAGTGAACAAAGTAATATGGATCAATGTGATAGCCAACATCCAAAGAGGATAGGCACTTTAAGAAGAAGATAGTATTTTGAAACTAACTATTATTATTATTTGACTAGTTTAATTTGATTAATAAGGCTAGATTAATTTAATTTCAAATAAATTTGATCAGATTTTTTTTCGTATATTCTGCTACCAGAAAACCAAGATTATAAGCACTTTTCAACGAAGTTGATGGAAGATATAGTGTATCTATCAAAATACTTAATAGAACTACTACAATTATTACAAGAAAAACAAAAAGAAGAAATACCCAAATACCCCTTCACTTACTACTCAACTACAAAATAAACGAATATAATCTCTTAAAAACACTACACAACTACTTATTCTTGTATTCTACACTGAACAAATTATCAAACTTACTAATTTATCAAACAAAAAGAAAAAATAACAAAATTATCCCTTCACCTACTACTTAACTACAAAATAAACTATAAAAACACTACTAAACTCTTTTTGGTAGACTACACTAACATGCTACACTAAACACTATAATTAAACTTAATAAATTAATCTAATTTTACACTACACCTACAAAGAAAAAAGAAATAAGAACATTTTCTATAACTAGAAGAAACAGAGAACTTCCATACGTGCGACCAGGATAATAGGTCAAGGGGACAAAGAATATAAAATACTTTAAAATGTGCATTCAGAAAGGAAAAATACCTCGAAAATTATCTAAACAAACATTTTTATTTCTTATCAGTGAGAAGCATCGACCTTGTCGGCCTTGAAGAATTTGTCGGGTATTTACAATGGTCGACTTGTATAATTGCCAACTTTTATAGCATATCTAATAGACAAAAAGTATCTGGTCGATTAGTAACCAATTGACACAGTCCGAAAATATCGATTTTTATTTTCTCTGTTTTTATTGGTAGCTTCAAAATTCAGAGTAACAAAAAATATTTTTCTGTAGGGAAACCAGTCCTGCCATCTAGTAGTCTTAGTCCATAAACGTCTTAGGTTGATCTACTTTAAAAATATATATACAAGGATGCTATATAAGTATATTTCACAATAGAAACTCTTAATTAAGTATGTGTAAAATAGTAATTATTTAAATAAGTAATAACTGAATATTTTAATACATATCTTACAATATCAACATTAAAGTATATTAGACAAGGTAAACTTGGAAATAATTCGTAAATTAGTGTGTCGGGATTCCGGTCAGTAAAGGTTTTTGCAATTATCTTATGATACGGGGTGGTCCGAACTGTATTTCGGAAACTTCGGCAGTATATTCTGTAGATAAAAATAAGTAAAAAAGTCCGTATAAATGTATGTTCTAAAATGCTTAGTTTCGGAGATGTTAGAATTTCATTTTTATTTTTATTTTTTCCAAATAATTTCTGAAGTAACGTCAATATTTTTTTGAAAATTGGTGTCTAGGAGTTTTTTGACACGAAAAATTTGATTTTCATGTCAATATGACTCCTACTTGTAGAGGGCCATCTACATATTTTTAACTGTTTTGAAGAGTAATAACTTTTCGTCCGTACCTGTATAAAACAACTGAGTAAAAAAATATGCATTTACAACGTTTTTTACGTAAAAAATGTCTCTGAGTAAAAATCGCTACGAGTAATAATTAAACATATTATTTTATAAAAACGCAATAATCTTTTCAAAACTTACCTCAATTATGAAGAGAACTGGAAATTGTAAAATAAACCATATCAGTCCATAATCAGTGATATTGTAATAAACTTGACTATACCCTCCATTAGAGATATAACATGCTAATATAGCAGATAGTGAGGCGTTTAGAAAGAGAGTTGTTGAGCCCCAGAAGATCTCATGTCTTTCTAATTCCGGTGACAACCATTTGTTGGGCTGGCATTTCCATTCTTCAGCTTTATCACGTTGTTTCACATAATAATACCACTAAAATTATTAAATAATAATAAATATAAATATAAAAAACTCAAAACTGAAAGTAAATATAGAACTGACAATGTTATTTGTATAATGTTTTGTAGGTATTCTTTTTTGTTAGTTTGTTTGTTTACTCTACCTTTGTCTACAAATTGTAAAACTTTTTGACAATAAAAATATTTATTTTAAGAATTTTAGACGTACACCTTGAGTTAATGCGAAGCGAAACGTAATACCTGTCATTATGAAAAAAAAGACCAAAAAGGAGCCCCAAATACTATTTTTATATATTCATACATCAAAGATGAAAACTTTTTGTTATTAACGGACTTTTTTGTCATCAATGTTATTTTACTTTTCTCTTGACGATTTTTTACAAATTTAATTGTTGCCAAGGTTAACTTGCATGGAGTAGAGACTTATTAGGCAATATTTAAGGTACAATTCCGAACACGACCGCAAACTGCAGACCGCAGCAGCAGACTGCAGGCGACACTACAGGTTTCTATAGTTTTCAATGGGATGCATTCTAAAGCAGGCGTCATTGCCGTCGAATGGCAGGCCTCGCTTTAACTGCAAACCGCACTACCGCTTACGAACCAGTATTGCAGTCGACTTCACGGCCTTCACGCTGAAAATATCGTACCTACACGTGGTCCAAAATGAATTTTTTGGAAGCCGATAAAAAAATTAAACTGTCTTTTATTTAAACGGCAATAGCTTCTAAATATGGTTTCATTACTCAACAAATGTTTTTGTATTGGCACTCTATTTTTATACAAAGGCATTGTCAACCTTCTTTGTTTCCTAGTATGCATTAGTAACATATCATCATCATCTTCCTCTTCCAACAAGAGTTCAATAATTGCGGAAGAAACTGAAATGTTTCCTTGAGGAGTTCTTATCTACGACAGCAGGACTATCTGTGTCGCTGTGTTCTGTCTTAATCCTACCTCAGACAGCAACGGCAATGCGGTTGCAGTGTGCGGTCTGTGGTTGCAGTCGGTCGTTGCGGTCATATTCGGAATCATGCCTTTACCGGGAAAGGTACTTGATACGCAAGAGGACTTTGTGTACAAAATATTTGGTGTGGAAACACAGAACTTGTGCGAGAAAGGGCGTAACCATAAATAACAAAAGTCTGGATGTCCATGATTTTGTGATATATGTGAGAATGAAGAGGATTATAAGCAGATACAGGGGAAACCACAGGACTGCTGTAGGGATGATATAGATATTTTTCTTACAAAATATAATGAGCAAATAGAAATTAATGGTAGCCTGCAAGATGAAATATCTAAGATAAAAATACAATACGCAATTAGTAGGCAAAAACAAGATATCCAAAACAATAATATAATTACTTTGAATATGGTAGACAATGATTCAGTATTAAAACTAAAAGAGTTTCGGACTTCCATTGGAAAAAGCGCAAATTTAAAGAGGCCGTATTCATTTATAACAAGAATAAAATCTTTAGCAATCCAAGTATAGAAATTTCAACAATATGGCAACCACTCATAAAGCACTCCAATGCAGGTGTTCTTAGTGGAAAACCTCATGCAAAAACTGCACCCAACAAATTCACGAGTGAATGCTCGGCTCTAGTATATAAGCTTAGTAGTTTTAGGATTTAGTTTAGATATACCCCACAAATAACCCTCTCTTTCTCAGGAATAATAGCTGCCCATACTTCGGCAGCTGGTTCTTCGGAGGTGGACTGTTTTATAATAATAATAGCTCCCGTCTATAGCGTTTAACGCCTTGGGAGTAGCAAGGTACAACTTGCCATACTAGAGCCGTTCGGTATAAAGGAAGGCGACGTGTGACTAGCATTACGCTTCAACCGCCTATTATTATCCCAGGATTGTGAATCCTAAGTACTCATATAATGCTGCAACCACACATGCGGCATTTAGCGAACTCCGAGCGCTCGTGATCGGACTTGGCCTTTCCATCCACACATGCGGGCTCTGATGGCAACAACATAGAGACGAGCGCTCGTTCTCGTCGCCGAACTCCGGCTTCCCCATCCACACACATCGGAAATCGGCGAAGCCCCGATCGGAGATCGCCGAATACCGCATGTGCGGTTGCGGCATAAGGCTGAGTCGACCTAGGTACCCAAACTATTTTTATTTTATTAAAAATAGTCGGCTGATGAAATGCCGGCTGCGAGATTCGAACCCACAACCTTTGAATTGGTAAACGAGAGCTGTACCTCTACGCCACCGGGCAGCGATTTTACTAAATATATACTATTACAGCACAAGACACGCCCCCAAATACGTCATTGGAAAATATAATCTATCTCAGCACATTCCTCCAAAATCTAAACGTTTGCAGCACAACAATACGTCGTTGGAAAATTTAATTTTATGTTCATTTCACGTGTGTCAGGCTGTGTGGAGATGGTTGTGGGATGCAAAAAATTACATAGATATTAAAGAAAGAAAAAAACTTATGATGGAATTCCGTTATATACTTTATGCACAAAGTGAAGAAGAAACAGAGGAATTATTTGGTACCTTATGTGAAAAATGCAAATACCCAAATTTTATCAACTATCTTAAAAATTTGTGGGAAAGAAGGAACGAGTGGTGTCACTTTTATAGAAAATCATTGTGTACTAAAGTTCACAACACAAACAACTTTGTTGAAGCATCTACCAGAGTACTGAAAGATATTATACTGGAAAGATGTAAATGCTTTAATGCTGTGGTATTAGATTTTATAACCAATATTCTGGAATGTTACCATAAAAGACGTCTGATATCATTTGCTAGCAACAGAATAACGAAAATTAATTTAAACTACTTAAAATTTAAAGATAAAATTAGAAATCTAATAGTTAAAAAAATAGATAATGAAACTTTTTTAGTTTCTTCAGCTGAAGACAAAAATATGCATTATACTGTTCTAACAAATTCCGCCTTATGCAATTGCGCTAGTGGAACAGGAGGGGCCTTTTGCAAACATTTATGTGCTGTAGAAAATTCGTTTAGCATCAATATTTTATCGAGTCCCCAGTTAACGGAAAATGACCGACAAATAATTGTTTATCTAGCCACTGGTAAAAAAAAATGTTCATTTTTTAAAAACATGATCAAAAACGACGATTCGGTTGCATTTGGGGAATGCAATACCACTTTAAACGCAAGTAATCAAACCCAATCGGATTCTATAACTGATGTTGAAAATATTGGAAGTAAACCTTGTAAGATAATCTAAAAGTTATAATATTGTTACTTGCTTAATATTTTTTGTTTTAGGTAGCGAAGAACATAAAAATGTAGTGGAAAGTCTGAAAAGGGAGTTTAGCCGTATTGCAGATTTAGCAAAACATGAGAGTTGTAATACAGAGTTAATAAAAAAGTTTGTTGGAAGCCTAAGAGCAATTAACACAGGTAGTCAGTTGGATTCATTCCTAGCTAGCAAGCAGTGTATCAAACGAAAAACAAAATTAATAAAAGTCCAGCCTACAGCAAGCAGTAGAAGAAAGATACAAAATGCTAAAATGGGGGGACAGAGAATTCAAAGTGGGCGCCCTTCCAGAAAAAGAAAACACAACCTGTCCCTTAATGTCATGTCTAATCTTCCTAATTCTCTTCCTCCAGATGGTGATGGGAATGATCACTATTCGTCTATAAAAGATTTTTAAACCACCCCCTCGCCAAAAAAAAAGACCTAGTTTAGTTCACACTTGATATCGGTCAGTGATACTTACGTTGTGTAAGCCAAATAAATAAAGAAAATGGAAGTCCGAAACTCTTTTTTTAGTGTTAATAATATATATCCAAGGAATAAGTCTAATGAATATCTCTACATACAATCTTGAAACTTTATAAAGTAGCAAAAGAATAAAAGAAAAGCAATATAAGTTTCTATGAATAAACAATGGTAAGTAATATTAAAGAAAATAGTTAGATAATATTAGTACAATACAAGGAGCAGCTAAAAAAGTATGAAGACCTTCTAGTAAATTACATATTGCGTGCATATAAGATACAAATGTATATTAAACGGGAAGTGGAAGCAATTCAGTATGTTGGGGTGAAAGGAAATGGAAGCAATTCAGTATGTTTTGTTGAACCAGGTAGTTTTAACGAAAAACAGGCCTCTTGGTAAAAATCGCTACGAGCAACCCTTCTCAAGATATTTCGAACCAAAATAGTCAATACATGTCAACAGTGATAAAAAATAAACATATTGACTAGAAATTTATTAGACTGTAGCTTTGTTCGAGTTCTTGTTATTACCGATTCTGACCCGTCCTAGAACTCTGCAGCACATGCGCAAATGAAATAATGTCTCATATTTCCTTCTGCGCATACGCATTACAGTTCTAGGACGGTTCAGAATCGGTAATAACAAGAACCCGAACAAAGCTAGTGAGTACTGTTTCAGATGGAGCGAAGCGCCTGCGCGGACCGTGCGACCGCGCGAGTTCGGGCAAGTACCATAAGTTTAAATGAACAAATTCACATGGGGCGCGTATGCTCCGTCCGGATGATTTCATCCGACGCCATCCGTCCAGCCCTCGCTTCGACGGAGCGTCCGCGCGCGTGCGGGCTACGAAGTGCCGCGTTGCTATTTATTTCGATAAGCGTCTTTGCAGCTGTAAATCAATAAGTACCTTTAAAATTGAAACAGAATTATTAATATACGCTGTGGAAAATCAAAGAAGTAGGTATATAGGATGTCTCTTGCGAGGAATATAAAAACCGAGATATTAAAAATAAAGCATATTATGGAGACGTTGTAGCCGCTACAGAACAGGATTTTGATAAACAGCCTTGACCTTGAAAAAACACGCGGACGCTCCGCTCCATCTGAAACAGTACTAGTTATGTCACAACTTGAGCTCAAATTATTAATTATATATGCATCTTTATACTCACATGTAAGAATCCTCCTATAAGAAAATAGATACTGTAAGACGAAACAATGGCACCTATCCAAAAGCTCCATAAATTTTGTAATCTGAGATACTCTATAATACCACTCCAACTGAATTCTCGGCTAATGTTACTGGTATTATCATAATATCCAAATTGTTTAGCTACATGTACTACAATATTAATCCAGTCGCCTAAAATATAAAGAGACATTAATTTATTAAATTAGTTTATTTGATATATTATATGGTGAAAGTAAAGTAAATTTTATTTTAATTTATAAAATATATACAAAAAAAATAAAAGTCACTGAAAAATAATATTAAAAAAAAAGATTAAAACATTCAAAACGAATTCCTTTCAGTAGACTTATACAGATTGTCAAGTACTACTGGTTGTAGGTACTTCTTTTATCTTTATAGATACAGTAATTTGAACATATAAAAATTTAAGCTAGAACTTTTTTTATGAAAAAAGGTGCTCGTCGTTTCGAAACGATGAACTGTTTTCAAGATATTGGCGTTTAATTTATTTAAAATTTCTTTATGTTTTATCAATTCACTAATACTAAAATCGATGCATCGTAATCTTTAAATGGAAATGTCTTGAAAACCGTTCACCGTTTCGAATTAAACGAAGGGCACTGGGGCTGTAAAAGCTTTCAAGGGTTGTAAGTTCCTCAGAAAGCATCTGAGGGTATATTATGTTCATGGAATACTTTATGTTATTTTTATCTGTAGTATCACCCGCTGAAGCTTAGTACACTATTTTTACATCCTCTATATTTAAAAATTATTTATAATTTTAACATTGGAAATGTTTATGTTCGTATATGGGGGCCAAATTTCGAGTTTTCTTTCAAGCAACGGTGTCGCACTTGCCGCACAGTCGACCAAACTAAAGCATCAAAAATTTTTTCGCGTTATGCCTAATTTAGGTGAACTGACCTGACAGCACGAAACTCTCAGCGATATACGAGGTTTAAAAGCTCTGCGCGCACTGAATAGGTATCGGCGAGAGCGAGCGGTGCGAGAGGCGCGAGCGACGTGAGCGGCACGACCGGTCGGAAAGTCGATTGTAGCCGCGCACTGGAGTCGCACGATCGACGGTCGAGAGTACGTCACCAGCATATATTTGAGCATAGACGAGGAGTTGTTTATTCAAATTTAGTCAAATCCATTCGGCATTTCAAAAAATTATAAAGTATTATTACTATTATTTATATTTTTATGCAACTTTTTATATTTTATGCTTTATGATGGAAATTGATATTATTTAGATCTTAACCAAACACATATTAATATATTTAGATCTTAACAAACCACATAAAATTAGTGAAATAGAGTGGAAGATGGGGATAAAATATACTACATGACTCTTAGCTTAACCGATTTTAACAAATTTGGTATAACTCAAAAGGGTTTAATTTGTTCTTTAAAAACAAAGCTAGATATGAAAAGTAGTCAAATAAAACTTCTATTTTTAGTTTTTTAATCTAAATAAGTGTCATTACAAACATTTATATATAGCTTTTATTTTGTTTTTAAAATCTTTGTTTTAAGTCAGTAGTAAATAAAACGAAACTTGTGTTTACATTTTGTTTAATGATTGACGTTTCGACCAATTTTAATTCGGTCTTTTTCAGAATCTATAATATACGTATAAATAATTTTCTACGTTTGTGGTAAGAAAAAATTATATATTAAACACATTGTTAGTGATAAAATTGTATTGTATATTATCGATTCTAAAGAAGACCGAATTAAAATTAGTCGAAACGTCAATCATTAAACAAAATGTAAACACAAGTTTCGTTTTATTCACTACTGACTTAAAACCAAGATTTTAAAAATTTAAAGTCATTAATAAAAAAGTCAAAGAAAATTGAAAAAATAAAAAATATAAATAGTTTTTATAGTACCGTATTATCGAAAAGGAACGGCATCAGCGATGACCATGAAATGAAGGTCTGTGCCATTTTATGTGTAAATTTATATAGGAAATGTCATCAATCGTCATTTCCCATCCAACTGGACGCCGTTTTTTTCTATCATACGGTAGATATATGTACAAATATTTTATTCAAACATAAATATTGTTTTCTCTATTTGTACCTTTTACGGAGCGATCAACATAGTAACATAGGATGACTATTTATCAGCTGTTATTACTAACGTCAAAACAAACCAAAAATTAAATAATATGATAAGTTTTTTGACGATATTTAAATTCGATTTTCAAAATAATGTGAGATAATCAAAACGAGATGAGAAATAAATGGGTTTAATCGGAAGGTTTTCTAATTCAGTTATTGAATAAGTGTAGTAAACAATATAGGTTACGTGCTTGTAAGAAATTTTTATAAAAAACCGCATATTAAGTATGATATGGTCTCGTACACTTTCGATTAATAATTCATCGGACATGTTTAATGTAAAACCGCTCCACCAAATAGTAGACTATTCGCCCCATCCCATGTATTCTCTGATTTCGCCTGATGGCGCGAGTACCGCCGATAGCTCGAAGCGCACCGAGCGCACTGGGCGCACCGATCTAATGCGGTGCGCGGGCTTACATTTATTTCAACGTAAACTGAAAATTACGTGTCGCTCGCTCTCACCGATACCTATTGCGCGCGGAGCTTAAGGCTCCGCGCGCACTGCATCGGATCGGACCGACCACCAAAAGCGACTGCGACCATCGTACATATAGACGGCGCCGGCGTCCACTAAAACATTTCGGCCTGTAGAGGCCAGATTCCTACCTCTACCCATCTACGATAGTCGAGTTACCGCCTTCGCCGGACTGGTACCGATTCAGTGCGCGTACACCTTAATTTTGTTAGTCCCGACGCGACGATATTACTTGACGACTATGCTACGGGGGGCGATTATAAAATTGATTAGATTGATATTGATATTTGCAAAGGTTACAAAACAGTACTATTTTCGTAATTTTTGATTTGGGTTTTGAGAATTATTTATGTTGTTTGTAATGAAACGAAATTTTTATTTAGGTATTGATATATTTCAGAAAGGATTTAAGGATTAAAAGATATAATATATTTACTTAATTTCAAGGTATCTGCATGAAAAATCAAGGCTATTTTTATTAGGTGTTATAAAATAGAACAAAATAACGTTGAACTACCCTCTATCAATTGTTTTTTTTTTAATTATGTTTATTTTTTCTTCTAATCATTATTAGTTATTATTATTAAGAATGGTGTTTTTTATATCAAGTTTACCTGCAAATATATAACGTTAATTATGTTTTATATGTGGTGTTATCATTTCTAATGTCTCTGATGGTTGCAGCGATTGCGAAATCTGTGGGTTTTATTAAATACAAATATACCAAGAATGCATCTAAGTCCACTTTAAATAATTTTGAATTGACATTAAATTATATCCATCATCAAGGATTAAAAAATTAAATGTTTGTTGATATTAATATAAATAGATGAGCAACTTCCTTTAGATATGGCATTGCATATATTCCAAATATACAGTTTTAGTGTAAGTGTACTTAACTTGTACTTAGATTTGTTTACTATTATTTTTTGCTAATAAACAATGGGAATAATTTTCTATCAGTACTATAATTGCACTTCAAATTCCTAAAGGGATGTGACGCAATAAATACAAAGTAGACTTTGTATATATCTGCACTTGAAAATTGCAGTTTATACGTGCATTTAAATAAAATCTGTTGGTTTAAATCCTTAACCATTAATTAAATTAAAATATACAGGGTCGCTGTAATGTATGGAAACGGTCGATTATTTCTTAAAGTAAAAAAGTTAGCAAAAAATGCTAAATACAAAAGATGTAGGATTTTTCAAAATCGATTAAAGTAAAAAAAAACATAATTCTACAAGGTGTCCCAAAAAAATTTGGCAATACAAAGTTTCCTTTTTCTGTATAACCCCACAAAAAGAAGTCAAGCGGAGTAAAGTCGGGAGACATATGTAGCAGGCTACTCAATCGTACCCCTGCGTCCTATCCATTTGTTAGGAAAGGTTTCGTCAAGGTATTCTCTTAACTCCCGTTCAAAATGAGGGAGAGCCATCCTGTTGAAACCATATGTTTTCTGCCGGTAAATTAGGATTTACAATCGGGAATTTCAGTCTGAGCTCTTTCAGAAATTCCAGTCTGAGCTCTGGAAGAATAGATCCTTGCAGAAGTATCAAATATTGTGCTGAAGTTGAATGAAATATATATATATATATACTCCAGGGTTGTCGCAACTAACGTCGCATCCCCACGCCTAACCGCCACCTGTTACGATCAAGAACATCTTCCTCTTCCAAGTTACGGTCCTCCATTGCCCTTCTGATGGCCTCATTCCAGGATCTTCTAGGCCGTCCTCTTTTCCTTTTTCCAGGAGGTGACCAGCTGTAGATACGGTAGGGCCATTTTTGGTGTTCTATGCGTAGCAAGTGTCCAAACCACTTAAGGCCCCTCTGTTCGACTCTATCCACTATTGTCTGTGTGGCATCCATTTGGGCTCTGATTTCCACGTTCCTAACTCTGTGCAGTTTAGATACTCTCGCACTGCGTCTCAAATGGTCCATTTGGAGTGCATTCAAAGATCGCTTTTGTTCAGCTTTTAAGGTCCAAACTTCACACCCATAAGTTACTACGGACTCCACTAGGGTTCTTCCAATATGTACTTTTGTGTTTGGTCTTATGTTTTTGTCCCACCAGATGCCATTCAGTGCTCCTATAATCTTCCGCCCTTGTTCTATTCTAGCAGATACTTCTGTTTGGTCCAGTCCCTTTCTGGTTATACGTGCCCCCAAATATTTAAACCATTCAACCTGTCTGAGCTTTGCATTATCTGTAATAAAAATGTCAAATTTATCATCTGAATTGGTCACTAGGTATTCCGTTTTATCAATGTTCACAGTAAGGCCCCATTCCGTGTATGCCGAATTTAACCTGCTCATCATGAATTCAAGGTCGTAAGCATCTTGAGCTATGACCACCTGATCATCGGCAAAATTCAATGTAACCAAACAGTCATCTCCTACAGGGATGCCCATTCCCCCACACCTCTTCTTCCAGTCCCTAAGAACCACTTCCAAATACAGATTAAATAAAAGAGGCGACAGAGGACATCCCTGTCGAAGGCCTTTAGTTGTAAAAAATACCTCAGACAGTTTGTTACAGCTCTTAACACGAGCTGTGTT